AGGGTGGCAGAATGTGATTTCCCAGAAGTCATGAGAAATGTATGGGTGAAAATAGGTTTTGAAAAGGTCACATGGGGTCAATACTGGTGTGTTTTATGTAAAATGATGTAAAAGTAAGATGTCCAAAGTGATGACTTTAAACATGTTTCTTTAGATCAAACCAAAATATATTCACATAATTATTATAAAACAAAGACAAGATCAATATTTGTCAGACTGAAAACTGCATTTCGTGACATTTCTGCATGAAAAACGAACGATTATCCAAACATTTTGACTTGATTCTCCGGCATTGAGTCGACCAATGGCTGCAGGTTTAAGGACAAGCACTAATGGAGAGACTAGACATGAAGTGTGTGTGTGTGTGTGTGTGTGTGTGTGTGTGTGTGTGTGTGTGTGTGTGTGTGTGTGTGTGTGTGTGTGTGTGTGTGTGTGTGTACCAGTGGCACAGTGCCTGGCTGCAGGCTGGGTGTAGGAGCCGTGGAGTACATGTAGTTAAACAGACGGTCGATCTTCCTCAGGGGAACTCCTCCCCCTCTGTCGCTGATCTGAGGGAGGAACGAGGCACAGATGCAGCGTGAGGAAGGACACACACTTATATGTGTAAAGGTGTGTGTGTGTGTGTGTGTGTGCGTGCGTGCGTGCGTGCGTGCGTGCGTGCGTGCATGCGTGCGTGTGTGTGTGTACTTGTGTGTGAGTTACCTTCACAGAGAGATCCTCTTTACCCAGAGTGACCTTGGCCTTCACTGGAGGTAACCCCTCCTCGTTGTCCTCGTGAAGCTCCACCGTGGCTCTCATCGAGTTCTGCAAAAGTCCTTATAGAGTTATAGTCACACTGCAATTCAATTACAATTAAAGACTATCTACTGAGCCCCCCCTCCCCCCCCCCCCTCCCCCCCCCCTGATGCTGCACACTCTCACCTTGAAGAGCTCGAACAGCATGTGGAACAGATGAGAGGGAACGTACACCGCCTGGATGGGCTTATCAGGGGCCTTCACTGGAACAAAACAACAAAAAGAAGTGTGAGAAGAAATGTGCAGAGTGCCAGATTTAGCCTCGTTTTTATCACCGAGGTTGATGGCATTGATAGAAAACAAACGCGTGCACACGCAAAGCTGGTTTGTTGATGATAATAACAGGATGAGGTCATGTTTAATGCACCACATAATAATGTCATCTCCGTACATTCACAGCTTCTACTGATTACTTGCCTTTTTGTAAATGTTATTGTCTTCCACCAATTTTATTATTTTTTGGCAACACATGTCAATTTTCATGTCAATTAAGCCTATTTAATTTAATTTAACTTTTATAGTATATTATGTTGTGTACATTTCTGGTCAAAAGTCATATTTATTTAAAAGTGTACATCTTGGGACGTAAGACACATTTCGTGAAATATTAGGGGGAAAAAAGTCAGAATCTCTTACTGTTGAACTCTTCAATCTTCAGCTTGGGAGCTGCTAGGTAATATTTCTCACAGAGCATCCGGGCTGTGTCGTAGGCATCTGAGGAAACAAAACAAGAGTCGGGACGGAAGAAGGAGAGTTCATGTTTTCATTCAGATTCATTTCTGAAGCTCTGGATCCTCGCTGCTAAACCTTTATTATTATATAAACATGGCGTTTACAGTAAATGAACTTGTTAGATTTGGGCCACTGCTGCGGCTGTGATATAACTCAAGATACAAACATTTAAAACATTTCACTCATAGATCACAAATGCTCTGGCTGTGTGGTTTGTAACGATTGTATTATCAGAGGATTTTAAACTCACCAGTGACGACTTCAGCCACGCTGCAGGTGGGGTCGATGCTGCCGATGTGTTTGGGGTGTGCAGGGTTTGTGTCGTTACCGAACAGAAGAGCTGCACAGAAAGAAGAAATACAAGTTATTACAAATAATGAAATAAAAGCCGTTTGAAGAGAACAGAAATCTACGAGCTTCTAGGATAGACGAGTGATTTCGCTGATACTGACTGGAATATGTTGAAAAATGATGAATACATGTTAAGTTATCTTCAGTACAGTAGGTTGTGGCAAGGCACTATGACATTTTAGTTAAGTTGTATGTTTTAGAGAGACAAGCTCATATTTTTTATTTAAACATTGTATTAATTTTTCTAGTTTAATTATATCCAAAGTTCAAAATAAGAGTTTAACAAATTCAGGATGTTTTTAAAAGTCAGTGGTGAATCATGTGTTAAATACTCAAGATCTAAATATTCTCCAAAACCTTGAGCCCCCCCAGGAACAGACATTATTTGTGGTGTAATGAAATGATTTGAAGAGAAGGGCCAGTCACAAAAATCTACAAGCTTCTAGGATAAACTGGAATATGTTGAATATAGTTGACCAAAATGATGAATACATGTTAAGTTATCTTCAGTACAGTAGGCTGTGGCAAGGCACTATGAAGTACTGGATTTCTTTACTTCATTAAAAGTTCATTTGTATGTTTTATTGATATCTGGTTCGTGGTGTTTCTGGGACTCACTGTGCTGGTTGATGAGCATGCGGAAGGAGATGCGGTTGGTGTAGAATCGGTCCAGGAAGTACTGGATGTTGCTGCTGATGAACGGGTCGAAGCCGAACTTCTCCTTGTACTCGATGACCCCCGCCGCCATGGTGGGAACCACGTCGTTGTGCCGGTTACGGATCTCAATCAACAGGTCCAGGAAACTGAGGAATAGATTACAAAAATGTAATGAGAAGGGAAAATAAATAGTTAAACAAACTCATCAATGAGCAACCTGTTGTGTCATTCTCAGAGGTGGGAAGTATTGGAGTAAAAATACTTCATTACTGTACTTAAGTACATTGTTCTGGTATCAGTACTTTACTCCACTACTTATTTTTCTGACGACTTTTTACTTTGACTTCTTACATTTTGAACACAAATACCTGAACTTTCTACTTCTTACATGTTGAACACAAATACCTGTACTTTCTACTTCTTACATGTTGAACACAAATACCTGTACTTTCTGCTTCTCTCATTTTCCAAACAGGCTGGTTCCTTTAGTCTGAATGTGTGTTTGGTGGCCTGATCATTATTATTTAGAGTCATTGTGTGTCTATTGATTTGAACACGATCCGTGTATCCATCATTTCCTGGTCTTCTCTAAAGAAGAGGGACCAATGGAAACGTTGTCATGTTGCCGTTGTTCAGCATGGAAACATTCATTAGCTAACAATGACATTATTGTTCTATGAATATAAAGGGAGGTCAGGTACTCTTTAAAACAGCTGCTAGTTATGGGTACTTTTTACTGAAGTACATTTCAAAGTTCTTTACTTTTACTTGAGTAAAGAAGTTTAGTCAGTACTTCTACTTTCACCAGAGTATTTTTGAACACGAGTATCTGTACTTCTACTTGAGAAAAGGATGTGCACTTTTGCCATCTCTGGTCATTCTGAGATCTTCAGTGAGGTTGGACATTGGAAAACATCATGCACAAGTTTCTATTATAAAAAAAAAATTGGCTTTCATTTAATATCAAGAAATAAATTGCAATCACAATGCTCAGAGTTTTTTAGAAAGTACATTTCTATCTGTTTTCTTGATCTAAAACTTCTTCACAAAGTATTAAGATGACTCATGATAGCTTGTTATCACTGTTCTTTTCATTTCCAGTGATCCACAGTCTCCATAGAAGCGTGACGGTCTTATCCAAATCCCTGTATGTTTTAATCTGTTGATCTGCGGGGGCATGGTGACATTAAAAACACTCAGCGTACCTGTGCAGACGGCACGTCTACATGCAGTCATAAAGCCAGCTTGCAAAATCTGCAGCTTACATATTGAACATGCATTTTGTGAATCATTAATAAAAGACAGTGTTCTCTCACTCGTTCAGAGCCTGAGGGTCCTCCGGCTTTCTGTTCTCATACTCCAGCAGCTCCACGAAGCTTTGCATGTACCTGTTAAAACAGTCAGAGGGCAAAGGGCAGTTACTAACAACGCTATAACACAGGGTGTCCAAACTACGGCAGATTAAAAAAGTATAATGGAATACGGCCCACAAATGAAACTTGAGCTTGTCTTGTATCGTAAATATATCTGTAAACATATATTACACAGTATAGTGTTCATGTGTTAATTTGCTCACTTTACAATAAATTCAGTCAATTACATTTGAAAATATGTTCTAACAAATAGAATAGAATAGAATATTTTTTGTCATCATACAAAGTACAACGAAATGTCTTTGGCAACACAAATAAATAAATAAACACAAATACAGTCTAAATATATATGAGTAAAATAGCCATAAGTATGTCTAAATAGTAAATAGTGGTGCAAGTCTAAGTCGATAAAGCCCAATAACTTATATACATAACAAACCCTTCCTATTTCCTCTCATGATAATCAATCTGGGGCTCCTGTTGTAAGGAATGAGCCGCTAACAGATTAAATGAAACTCTCTGGAGAGCTGTGATGTAGGCTGTTTATTTTTCTTAAAGCAGATTCAAGTATCAAGAATAATTGACCTACTTTTGATGGATTTTGCGAACTTATAACTGAACTTATGATGATACCTTTAGCGAGTGGCCCAGGCCTTCGTATGTTTTTCTGTATGTGGCCCTCTGTGAAAAACGTTTGGACAGCCCTGATATATATCGTATCAACAGGAAGCGATATGAAGTGTCTGGAGGAAGTACCATTTCTGCACCAGTCTGACGGAGGGCATGCCCAGCAGGGGGTCCGGCAGCAGGTTGGTCTCCCTCATGGTGTTGGCCAGACGCACCGGCAGCTCCTTACGCAGGAACATGTACGACGTTTTCTCACAAGCATTGTCCCGGCCTGAAACACGCAAACAAACAAACACATTCTCAAAGCAGCTGAGAGAGGAATATCTGGAATATCTGGTAGAGATTAACATGTCATTATTTTCTTTTCCTGCCAGGACACAGGTTCAGAATTCTGCTTTTTGTATTGCCTTTAGTCATCATTGCTCATACTGTGGATTTCAAAAGACACCTTTCTGTTAAATGGACTTTTCTGTCACAGTGTGTTTCTCAATCAAAACAATATGTCTTGATCAGAGCTGCATTATCTGCAGAGTAACAGCGGCTAAGAAGGGGTTTTTCTCCAAGCATCCTGTTTCAAAACACTAAGATTTATAGGTTTTTAAAGGAAAATGTGGCTTAAAACTGGATAAAAAGTAAATGTATGACAGCTTCTTGCAGACAACGCTGATGCATGCTCAAAGGGAGACACATTTACCCAATGAAACTGTCACACATGACCTCTTGGGTGTCACGAACCCTTTCCAACACGATGAAATAATGACAACATGCATTTGTTTTTAACCTTAAACTCTCCTGAAACGTGTGCATTTTTACATAGCAGAAAATAATTTTGTTTACACCCTGATAAGGAAACCCTGAATAAAGCAGTTTCAGGTAAATAATCTCACATGATCTCTTTGGTGTCACGAACCCTTTCCAACACTAATGACAAAATGCATTTGTTTTAAACCCTCCTGAAACGTCTTTATTTTCACATTGCAGAAGACCTCTGTCTTATAAAAAGTGATTCTCATGTGCAGCTCTGCACCACAGAGCCTGTCAGAGGAGGCAAACAGCAGCGAACACCAAATGCCAAAATGGGAGCTGCAGTCAGTTTCAATTTCCAACCTTTAATATGACACCTTAAACTCTGCGGACACGCTGTTCAACATTAACCTGAAGCATACGAGTAAATCTTAAAGAGAGGGGGAGTCTTAAAGGTTAGAAGGGTTTCACTTTTAGATCTACAGAGGAAAAACTGAATTACTGCCGTGTAATGGTAAAAATCTGTGCATTTATTAACAACCGAAATGCAATGTACTCCAACGCCACATAAAAGCACACATACGCTTCCACTTTACTCCAAAAAAAGGTGTTCACACGATGCAAAGACATGTTGTTCGTACAGGAAGCCTGATACTGGGATTCTGCACTGAGCGTGACTTTAACCCTTCAACACAGAGAGATGTTTCAGTGAAACTAGATGAGCTCGCAGAATATAAGGACATATCCTCTCAGCAGCAACTTCCTCTGATTCAGCAACACGGAGGCACGGCTCCTACATTCTTAAAATTGGGAAATGAAAGCAACACACACACACACTCACACTCACTCTCACACACACACACACACACACACACACACACACACACTCACACTCACACACACTCTCTCTGTTGCAAAGATGATGTCGCATGTGTAAGGTCGCAAAGGGGCGGAAGATTTCGGGTACATTTCCATGGGAAGTTAAGGTGGGGAATTTTGGAAATATTGGAAACCTTCCATGGGAATTATGGGAACTAACTGGGAATTGAGGGTAATGTAATCGAATTGTGTCACCAAGCATTATATTAATTTACATTACATGTCAGTCACTTGTTAGACGCTTTTATCCAAACAGACTTACATACTCAATACTGTGCACAATCCCCACAGGAGCAATTTAGGGTGAAGTGTCTCAGGGACACAACGACATGCTGACTGCAGTGGGGTTTGAACCTGTGACCCCCTGATCCGAAGACCAACGCACTAACCCACTGCGCCACACGCATAAATATAAATGTTTTGTCATAAGAAAGCATCCATGCAAAATGATACAATTAAAAAACATGACATTTCAACAGACTTATTTATAAGTAGAACAGAACAAGTTTTAATTATTTTATTGAACAATAATTTGTTTCATTGAAGAACAAAAACATGAATGTTGAGTTAAATATTACTCAGTCATCCCCCCAACCCCACACATTCAAAAATGAACAAAAATGCACCCCCCCATCCAAAAATCCCCACTATATCATCCGTGCATGTGATGGAGGAACACAGAGTGCCTGTAGGGGGTGTGGTCTCAATAGCCATGCAGTAAGCAGTGTGCTATGTGCATGTGCTTGAGGAATAATGTCATGGATATTCAAGTGTACTTGGATGGCATCTGTTTGTTTTAGTCAAGATTAAGCTAAAATATACTTTCCCAAACTATATTTAAGTTCCCTATGAAGAGCCAACCTTCAATTCAGAAAATGCCCAGTTATATTCCCGTGAATTCCCATGG